CTTGGAAACTCTATGAGGCAGTTCTACTCTGTCCTATTGGGTTGCTATGAGTCAGAACTGACTCAACAATAATGGCTTTGGTTTACTGTTATGGATGCAGATTACCACATCTTTCTCCCGCAGAGTGGCTGGTGGGTTTGAACCACTGACCTTTCAGTTAGCAGCACCACCAGGGCTCCATAGTGTAATATTATACATTATTATTTTAGGCACATCTCTATTATTATGCTAACCACCACGCTGTATTGTAACTGTTTGGTAACGTGTCTGCTTCCCTATTAGCATGTGATCTCTCTGGAGCAGAGCTTGTGTCTTAATTACCTTAGTATCAATAGCAGTATAGTGTTTGGTCAAAGAGAAAATATTAAACAACCATGCAAGTATGTTTTGATTTAACAGATAAAACTGACAACCCTGTAAATGAAAGCATTGATTTTGGAAAAGTCTCCATAAGATCACGAGAGGGGCTCTGGCGGTGCAAACAGTTAAGCCCTTGGCTGCCAACTGACAGGTTGGCAATTCGAGCCCACTCAGCAGCCTTGCTGCAGAAAGGCCTGGTGATCTGCTTTTGTAAAGACTGCAGCCAAGAAAACCCCATGGGCAGTCCTGCTTTGTCATATTGGATCGCTATGAGTTGAAATCGACTTGTTGCATCTAACAACAAAAACAAGGTCATGATACTAAATATACTTTTTAGGGACGTGGAGTAACATAGTGTTTTAAAAAAATCAGTTGCTGTTGAGACGATTCTGACTCATGGCAACACCATGTTCAGAGAAGAACTGCTTCACAGGGTTTTCAAAGCTATCACCTTTCAGAAGCAGATCTCCAGGGTTTCTTATGTCTCTGTGTGGTCTACACTGCTAACTTCCATTTGGTACCTGTATGTTTAACTGTTTGAGCCACCCAGGGACACTACAGTCTTAGTTCCATATATGCATATATGTCTCTATACACATATGCATGACTTTAATGCCCTTCAGATAACATCCCACTGCATATACATCAGTGGTCTCATAAGGGTTTTTTTTTTTTTTTCCCCAAAGGCAGCTTTCTTTTTGTTTATTAATTTCACCTAATGGATTTAAAGACTCCAAGCCTAGACTATTGTACCACTGGACCACAGGTGGGATACATTCAGGTGAGGCAGAGGACATGGCTCTGGACACAAGCTTTGGGGGCAGGCTTTCAGGCTTTGTCCGGCATGCAGCAAACAGTGGCAGCAGCAGCTGAGTTGTCCAGGCTGCTCCTGCTACTCAGGTGGGTGGAAGAGTGGGTGGGGCTGGGACGCACTGCTCCCCTCCTGCTTGCTCCCCACTCATTCTGCTCCCACTGTGCCTCTCAGCTGCCGCTGCTGCCACTGCCTGTCCCTCTGGCCTCCACCAGCAGTTCCAGCAGCAGCAGCAACGGAGACAGTGATGAGGACAATGAGAAGCAGGCTCCCATAAGGTTTTAATATGGTGTTTGAAAAGAGTTCAAATCACATGATGTCCCATTTCACAGAACATATAGCGGATGTTAAGCAATGCATACTTGTATGTGTGTGTGTGTGTGTGTATACACAGGCATATCTCATTTTATTGTGCTTCACAGATACTGTGTTTTTAACAATTTGAAGGTTTGTGACAACACTGCATCGAGTAACTCTATTGGCACCATTTTTCTAACAGCATGTGCTCACTTTGTGTCTCTGTGTCACATTTTGGTAATACTCACCGATATGGGGTTTATTAAGTAATAGGTTACAGTTCAGGATCGGAAATGACTTAGGATACAGTTCTTCAATCAGGACAATTTCTTCTCAGCTGTGCTGCAGGGATGCTACTCTATATGGCCTTGGCCTCTGTTCTGCTCAGGCAAGTGTTACAAAGCTCTTTTAGTTGTACTGATAGGTGCCCAGAGAAGCACCCTACTCAACCAGCAAGTCTCCTGCCTAAATGCACTCGGCTTTTTTGCTCCGTGGGCTAGGTAGCCCACTTCTGTCTTATGCCAATCTCTTGATACTGCTGCCTCTTGGTTCTCTGCTACTATCTCTTGCTATCCAACGAAGGAGGTCCAAGTATGTACTCCACTCCTGGCTCCTCTTTCTTCATGGTAGTGAGAGTCCCCTTTCCACCTCTGGAATGGCTCATTTTAAGCCCTGTGATATGGCAAAACTGATTGATCTCCACGTTTGGGTTCCATACACCTTATCTGGATGGCCCCGCCTGCACAAGGTTACCATGTTCATTATTTACTTTGTTACCAAGCTATCTAATCCCCTTTGTGTGCCACAAGCACCTAACATTTGCATAGTCCCACTCAGTGTTCTGGTGGGAGTCACAAAGAACCATATCAAGTAATTCACTGCCCTACACTCATTCACTCTCAGTTCAGCTTCTAGCCTCCTGTTGTTGGTTGTGGGTGCCACAAAATAGGGACCCCATGTGACAGCAGAACTGTTCCATAGGGTTTTCTTGGCTATAACATTTATGGAAGCAGATCACCATTCTTTTGCCTACAGAGCTGCTTTTGGTTAGCAGCCAAGAGCTACCATGACTCCTACTAAGGCCTTGAGCTCTTAAACAGAATGTAGCATTCATTCCTGCTTCAGGCAGGTCTCCACAGTACACTGGTGGGAGATGTTGGCACTACGCATCATTGCCACAAGAGTTATGGAAATCATTAGCCAAAGATATCAAAACAATATTTGAAGAAACAATTTTATACAGGAGCAGGGAGGATTTCTACATAGGTGCTTACATTCACAAGGGACCCTTAATGAAGAAGACACACAATCCTGGTTCCTACCTCCCAAAGGTTTATAATCAGAAACAGGAACAGGCCTTAAGTAGAGATTACAAGGGAAACAATCAAATCAAACTTCTGAAAGTGAGGGGAACACCGTGGCAGTGCATGCACAGGACGATCTTAAGGATGGCAACACGAAGAAAAAGTATCGACTCGGCTATTCCTGAGTGCAAATTCAAATTATTCCTCTTGCACAAAATAATTTTGGAAGGAATTATACCAATTTTATTTTAGTTTTGATCAATTTAACTCACTAAACAATGTTTCAGCAGTATCAAGATCTATTTTCCTCTTAATAGCTATTAAATATTAAGTGGCTCTAACAGAGTACAGCAATATCCAGTGTTTTTATCTAGAATACAACTTGCTTATGACACTTAAGAACAGATGTAATATAAGGAAAAAAAGCCTCCTACTTTAAAATTAGTAACCAAATGAATACTCCAAGATGTGTACATTAGTATTGGTCTCTTGCCAAGTTTCAAGCGTATGAACCATTTAACTAATACAGAAAATTTTCAGATCTATCATGAACCACTTTCTCCTCTGTTGGATTACTGAGATTTTAGAAGAGGATTGTGCGAGACACTCGCTTCAACTTCCCATTATAGTACACTTGTCAGTAGAGTGAAATAAAAACAACACTGGTCTGCCTCACAGTACATAATCTGTGTGCTGCTCTGTAAATCAACTATTGGTCCTTTAGCTTATCTTCCATATTAAAATAAAGCCACTCTGATGCTGCAGTGTTTAAAGCATTTGGCTGCTAGCCAAAAGATCAGCAGTTCAAACCCACAGCTGCTCTGTGGGAAAGAGGGAACTCTGCTTCTGTAAAGATTTACAGCCTTGGAAATCCTATGGGGCAGTTCCCTCTGACCTATGGAGTCACTGTGAGTCAGAATCAACTCAATGGCAATGGGTTTCCATCTTAAAATATGAACATTCAATATGATATTGGTGGCATGTTGTTTTACGTGCACCTAGTATTCCCCTGGGAGCTCTGGTAGCATAGTGCCTAAGGCACTTGACTGCTAACCAGAAGGCTGGCGGTTCAACTCCCCCAGCCACTCCTTGGAAGGAAGATGGGGCAATCTACTTCCGTAGTGATACTGCCTTGGAAACCCAAGGGGGGGCTGCTATGAGTCGGGTCCAACTCAACGGCACATAACAACAACAACAACAACAGTATTCCCCTACATATTTTGAATGTTATGAAAGATGAAACTATGCTATTTGATCATTTTCATGAATAAAACCCTACAGTTTTCTTAAAGGTAGCATTTATATAAAACTAAATGCTCCTGCGTATAAAGCAGCTGAAGTTGAAATACGGTAACATGATTAGTGAGAGTAATTTTAAAAATCATAAAATGTTGCCCTTGGGCAACTCTTAGACTACTTCCATGCCACCGGTTTTCCCACTGTGAAATCAGAGGACTAGACTCAGTCGTCACTGAAATACTTTCAGCTTTAACATTCATGTTATATTAACTTAGTTCACCAGCAGTTTTTTATTTATTGTTTTTAGCAAACATCTTTGTTTAAATTTACCTTTCTCTGTTTTGGTATAACCACCCCTCCCCCCTCCAAACAATCCAGCACAAATCTGTATCATAATCATTAATGAACAAAAACAGAGCCTGTGTTGGTCTTACATAGCAGTTTTTTAAAACTGTCATTTGTGCAATAAATCTATCTAGAATTATTCAAGGGGAAAGATTATCCCCACTAATAAGAATGCCCTATAAAAAGTCCTTGCTGAGATCTGAACTGCGAAAGTGAAGGTCCTAAGATGCATTTGAAAAGATCTTTCATCCATCAACATCCCTTAAAATAAACTTACAGTTTACCATATCTTTGTAACATGGTTAAGAGGCTCATTCAGTTTTATTATGAACCTTTTTAATTTATTTCTATGTTTTTCTTTGGATTTCCAAGGAATTTTCTTATTTTCATCTTCATTCAATAAAGGATGTAACTGAACACAATAATCAAGTGAAAGAAATAAGAAATTGAGCATAACTGTCAGTAAAAGAGCAATCTAATGTTTAATTTTTTTTGATCTGAAGAGTATTATGCAAAACAGACTCTACACAGTTTCCAGTACCTTACTAAAATATGTCAAATATTGCCAAAGTTATATGGTTTTATACTATTCAGAAAATAAGCAGAACAGAATACAACAAAGCAAAAATATGAAAGAATACTACCTTTGCAGAGGCATGATTTCACAAGCCATTCTTGGATACAAATACACCAGAGAACCTGACGACTGACTCCCTCTTCCACGACAAATCCGGTCGTCTGTACAAGCGAAAGTCTTCGTACAGTGGCTGAGCCGGGCTTGGGGCATGAGGCTGCACCTCACAGCCGGAGAAGTAACTTGCTCTGCAGTTAGCCAGTGCACTGCTGTTCTCAGCCTCCAAACTTCTTAAAGCAATGCTATTTTATGGGCTGCCTCTCTACATTTACACTGCAGTCCACTTTGACCTTTTGTTCCAGGGAAGCAGCTGAACACACCCAGCCAATCAGAGGAGCAGCTGCTGTAGTGCTAAAGGCGCACCTCCTCCGGGTCTCCCCCCCCCCCCCGTGGGCTTGTCTAGTTCTGGTAACTGGAAACTTTACTCTGAGCAGTTCCACAGACAGGCTTGTCAGTCTGGGAAAAGCAACCAATAACTGGCAAGAGTGAAGGGTCCTTACTTCTCAACATTACAGAGATTGCCAGCAAGGAAATCCGTTTGTCAAGGAAACGCAGTGCCTCTAACACTTAAAGATTTCTGTAGCAGGAGGCAAAAATTAATCCCGTCCCCTTTTTTCCTTAAAACGAAACTACACATACTAACATTGGAAGGCTCGATACTTTTCTAGAAGGAAGGCGTGCTTCTTGACCCTTGCCCTACCCACATTTATTTCCTGCTGATGTTTGTTTATACTGTGGTGGTAACTAGTCATTGGTGACATCACCCAAGGCACGTAGTCAGTCCCACTTCTGAGGAGAATACGTGCCCTAAAACTCTGCCCAATACCTTAAGGGTTCAAAGCATCTAGTTTCATGAAAGTTCTTTTAACTTATTTCTGCATCTCATTCTGATAAATGGAATGTGTTTGTTTACAAAGGCATTTTCCTTCCAGAAGGTCAAAAGAATCTGGGGTTTATTTTTTACTTTATTTTTTTTTATAGGTAAAATCAAATCAATTTTTCCATGTGGGCTAAATATCTATTAATTATTCAGTTTTCCCTTTCAGTTTCTCCTTAAAGATTGAATGCTGAAGTATTATTTTTAAGTACATAATTGCTAATCTCATTATTTCATATATTGCAAGAAATAAGTGGAAATACATTTAAATATGATTTCTTTAACATCATGAGAATTGCAGAGTTACAACACAACCCGGAGCATTGATAGAGAGCCAGAGAGTTCGTGATGTTCAGAAATAGTGGAGATTTGTTGGTCTTCCTCTGTGATTTTTTTCCCCAGAGTTTTACAGACCAGTCATACTTCTGAATTTAGAATACCAACTCTCATTGTGAGGTATCCACTTTCCTATGTTATACCTGCTAATAAAAAAACTTTATCGCCTAAGTCCTCTATCATATTTTTGAAAATGGATTAGTCATCTTGAAATTTATTATGATAGAATATCAGTAACTGAACTCAGCCTTTTAAAGCAATAGAAGTTGATTTAAGCTAAAAAAGTTAAATTGAAAATTTCAATGTGTTTTTTCTTTGAATTTAGAAATTCTAATTTGATTCTCCAGTAACAATAACTTATATATTTGCAGAAGCCTTTTGTTTTTCAATATTTCTTTACATCTTACTTAACACTTCAAATAACTGTATGAGTTAGATTACTTATGATAGTAATCCACAGTTTGTATATTATGGATAGTAACATATCTATGGATAGTAATCCATAGATTATATATTATAACAGTGATATATCTATTTTATTGAGGAGTAAACGTGATACTGGATTCTAGACTTCCCATACCTATTCCAGAAAGTCTGCTATACATCAGAGTACTGATTCTATTCTAGCTGAGTTTCAAAAAATTATTCTAAGATACAAATATTTTGAAAAATAGTTAAGATTCAATTGCCAAAGTAATGTTTTATCTTTTCAGGATTTTATGAACATGTCAATATTATTTGGCTAAAGTAGATATAAAAGAAAATGATCAAGAATAAATGACTCAGTACTACAAAAATACATTGAATTGCACTATAATTCACATTCAACACACAATAAAGGTAAAATGCAGACAAATAGGAACGTTCAAATTTTAACATCTGATTTTATGTATATTTCTTGATAAACTGTCTTTGTATCAACAGTCCCCTAACATGCCATATTACATGTTTATAATGTAATAGCTTTTGTTCTTAGGTTCTGTTGAGTCAGTTTTGACTCCTAGCGACCCTATATACAACAGAACAAAACCCTGCCTAGTCCTGCACCGTCTTTAACAATCATTGCTGTGCTTGAGCCCATTGTCACAACCACTGTGTCGATCCATCTCATTGAAGGTCTTCCTCTTTCTGACCCTCTACTTGGGTGATCTACTTCCATATAGATACAGCCTCGGAAAACCAAAGAGGGGTTGCTATGAGTTGGAAACGACTCCACAGCAGTGAGTTTGGTTTGGTTTGGTCTTCCTGCAGGGACTGATCCCTTCTGGCAACATGATCAAAATATGAGAGACGAAGTCAGGCTATTTCCGTTTCTAAGGAACATTCCGGCTGTGCTTCCTCCAAGGCAGAATGTTCATTCTTCTAGCAGTCCATGGTACGTTCAATTTTTTTTTTTGCCAGCATCACAATTCAAATGCATCCGTTCTTCTGTGGTTTCCTTATTCATTGTCCAGCTCTCACATGCATATGAGGCTATTGAAAATGCCACAGCTTGGGTCACTCATACATACTTTAGTCTTCAAAGTGATATCTTTGCTCTTAAACACATTAAAGAGGTCTTTTGTTAATGGTTACTTTTAATGAATCACCTAAAACTCTGTAACTCAATAATTAGATACGCTTTCAAGTCTTTATTATTTATTTATAACAAGCTCTTCTTTTTGATTTATTTTCTGGACATTACCTGGCTATCTTTTATAAATTTGTACCTGGATTACAGTCTTCCCTCTTTATTCCACACATTGCTAGTGTCCTTGGTCAATTCAATACCTTCATTATTCCTATTTCTAACATCATTGCATCAGTTCCTCACAGTCAGGTTAGCTGGGAGCATAATTTCATGACTCTGTGGGTTCTAACTTCTCAAAAGCTGATATTCTCTTCTTGGACTACATTTTCTCCTCACTAAAGCTGTTAATGTGCATCACTCCTAACTGCTATTACTTTTACCTCCCCAATTCTTCTACCTTTTTACTTAGCTCCCTACTTGAGCCTTGACTCTATTTTTCAATGCCTTCAGATGATAACCTGCACCCAAACCTGACATGCAGGCTTAAAAAGGCAGATTCTTGGCTTTCCTTAGCAATTAGTTATTTCTAAAATGGGTTCACTAGCATCATCTGCTTCTTTACCCTGTATCAACCCTGCCAGCTGGTTTCTCCATTGTCAGGCTGCTAAATATCACAAAAGATTGTCACACAACCCTGGCAACTATTTACACTAAAAATCTGTGCTATTTAACCTCAGCCTGAACCACAATACTGTATGGGAACATTTTCAGTTATCTTTAATTGACTTTTCATGGAATGCCCAGAAACTGTTGCAAATCTCCCATGTGACAAATTTGAATGTCTCACGGTCACTAATTACTTCACCTCCTACTTTATCCAGAAAGTCAAGATCATCAAATATGAGCAAGGGATTTTGGTCTTCATTGTGCCACTTAAATCTCCCAACCTTCAATCTTGGCCTCATTTTTTTTTTTTTTTTACTTCTTCCTAGTCAAGGAGAAAAGGTCCTCACTGGTAGGACTCAAGTCTGTTATCTATGTATTTGATCTCATCATTTCCTCCTTCCTCTGGAAAAAGTCTGATCGCTCCTTCATCTTAAGTCTGTCCTTCTCTACCTGCTTCTTTTACCTCTGAGACAGTCCCCTGGGTAAGTGTTTTCTGGTCTTGAAAAAACTTTCCTCAACAGCCCTCCCTTCTGGCATTACAGAGCTATTGCCCTCCTCCTTCCCACTGAAAAAGGAGCTCTGGTGGCACGGTGATTAAAGCATTGGGTTGCTAACCAAAAGTCAGCAGTTTGAGCCCACCAGCTGCTCCGCAGGAGAAAAAGGAGGCAATCTGCTTCCCTAAAGATTTATTGCCTTTAAATCCTTATAGGGCAGTTTCAGATTTACTGAAAAAAAAAAACAAAACAAAAACTCATTGCCATCCGTCCAGTCAGATCTGACTCATAGTGACCCCTCTTTGGGTTTCCCAGGCAGTATCGCTACAGAAGTAGATTGCCCAACGGGCAGTGCTACTCTGTCCTGAAGGGTCACCATATATTGGAATCAACTCCATGGCAGTGGGTTTGGTTTTTCTGCTCCAGCTGACAAACTTGCCCAAAGGCTACTCTGGCTGCTTCCTCAACCTCCTAAATTAATTATTCTTCCACCCTGTGAAAACAAAAATCCTCACAACTGGACCAATGAGCAGCATCACAATAAATGGAGAGAAGATTGAGGTTGTCAAAGAATTCCCTTTGCTTGGTTCTACAATCGATGCCAACGGAAGCAGCAGTCAGGACATTAGACGACGTGTAGCATTGGGAAAGTCAACTGCGAAGGAACTGTATCAAGTGCTGAGGAGCAAGGATATCTCCTTGAGGACTAAGGTGCGCCTGACACAAGCCATAATATTTCCAATCGCCTCATATGCATGTGAGATCTGGACAATGAATAAGGAAGACCGAAGAAGAGTTGATTCTTTTGAGTTGTGGTGCTGGTGAAGAATGCTGAAAGTACCATGGACTGCTAAAAGAACTAACAGATCTGTCCTGGAGTGCAGCCAGAATGCTCCTTGGAAGCAAGAATGGCCAGACTTCGGCTCACCTATTTTGGTCATGTTGTAAGAAGGGACCATTCCCTGGAGAAGGATGTCATGCTTGGTAGGCTGGAGGGTCAAGGAAAGAGGGGGAGGCCTTCAACAAGATGGATTGACACAGTGGCTGCGATGATGGGCTCAAGTATAGCAGGGATTGTGGGGCTGGTGCGGGATCGGGCAGTGTTTCGTTCTGCTGTGCATGGGATCGCTATGAGTCGGAAACGACTCGACGGCACTTAACAACAACAACCCTGTGACAACAAACTTTTGACCTCACCACTCTTCTAAACAACAACTCTTCT